GAAAAAAAGGATAAAGGTAGTGACCCTGTCCAATAACGAAAAAAAAAAACTGCTAAAGCTGATTTTCGGCTTAGTCGGCCAATTTTCTTCAAAATCGATTAACCGATCCTCATAACCATAATAATTCATAAGCATTACAAATCATTACAAAAAAATTTTTTTTTTTCATATATGTTACGAATAGCAAGTAATCATTTATTATAATAAATCGCGATGAAATTTTAAAGAATTTTATTCTCAAAATGAACTGAATAATATACCAAACTAAGATTTCTTTACTCTATATACTGACTTTTAGCAGGCTCACCTTCATCTACGTATAAATGTTGTGATTTGTAAATTCGTCCTCTGGCGATGTTATTGTATATTAGGCCATACAATCTTAATAATTCGGTTTTCATAACATAAAATTTTCAAAAGTGCCCGGCAACCCGGTTTTTAATTTTATTTTCAAAAAATTATATATATAAAAACATATAAAATTTTTTATAGATTTTTTTAAAAAACTCACCCGGATAGTAAATATATATATAATTTTTTTAAAAAATTTGTAAGGTTTGACCCGGCCGGGTTATGAAAACCGAATCATTAAGTTTGTATGGCCTTATTATTTTGAAATTTTTTTTCTTTTTTTTTTGCTAATTGTCACGTTCACGGATAAAATTTCTTGGCTTTTTTCTTTTCCATTTACATGATTTTTGCTCAGAAGAATAAGAATATTTCAAATTGAGTCCTGGGATCGGAATCCAGCTGGCAAACATTTAAGTTTCTTTCTATTTCTCTGTTTATCTCACTACTAATCCTTTCCTATTTTTTGAATCGAGAAATTCATCGACCTCTTTATTTTCTAACTATTCAAGTGATTTAGGCTATGCATGAATAGATGACATAGAGCATAAAGACGAAAATTCATGGCATATATTAGAATAAATGAGTTATCAGATATATTTGCTTGGGAGTATTGTTAGAATTCGCTTCACAAAAACATTAATGTTAGCCAAAGATTATTTGATTTCCTTGATATCGTCATCTAATTTGACAATAAGGTTGGCCTTTCCTTTATCTCTCCGCTCTAGACGCATGAATCTAGCTTTATGTTCTTTTAAAGCTTGCTTTAATTTTGCATTCCGTCTTGATTTTAGCATTTTATAAGTTAACATTCTTAGCTAGAAGCCTGGAATTCAATTCTTCCAATACGGCAATAAATTAATCTTGGATTGTTTATACAAGGTGTGAATATTAATGTTTAGTAATTCAGTTTACTTGTAAATTTGTCTTTAGACCAAATAGTAATAGGAATGACAAATGTTTTTATCATAGTTAAAAATAGACAATGATTGTAATCTGGATATCTGATATATTTAAATCATATTTGTTAATTATTCAGATTTTTAATCATTACCTGCTTTAAATTGGTAAAAACCTAATGGCAATTCGGTCAACAATATTGGAATCGGCATTTGCAAATTAGAATGCTTTTAATTCTTTCGTAGCATCACATTTGTTATATTATACCTGTTATACAATATGATAATCTGATAGCATCCCCTATCCAAGTTCGGGTCACATGATATAAACGTCTCATCATACACAATATTGTGATGAGGTTGACTTTCACCCGGGTTACCCATCCACCCGGGTCAAAACCTAACCAATACTATAACCTAAATCTAAAAGATACAGTATTTGGTTTCGGTTTTCAACTTTATTTATTTAGCCTTTCTTTATGATAACATGTATATTTTGTATTGAACCAATTATAATTATTCATTTATATATAACTATAAAGCATTGTTAAATACAGAATAAATAACATATATGAATAAAATACGATATATAACTATATAGAAAATGTAATATGCAGAATAACTGTAAATTTTACACCAATTCATTTATCTATAAAATAAGTGATAAATTTGTTTAATTACGTGTAAATTAAATATATTACTCGTCTGGAATTTTAATAGGATCAATAGGTCTTGAATTTACTATATTCACAAATTCAAAATAATTTTTTACAATCATACAATTATTAATATATTACTTTTTTTTTTTAAAAAAAATTAAAAATATTACCTGGTTTAGGGAGTTCTGAAAGATGCAAAAGTCGACTTGTATAAATTGCTTGTGGATCTGTTTGATAGATGAGTTGTGTCGATTTAACTTGATCACGTGTTGAGGAATTTTTAATATTTTTAACTTGTTTATATAATTCGTTGTATTTGAATCCATTTCTCAAACCAAGAAAAAAGCTACTCAGAGTATTTACTAATTCTTCAGCAGCTGGTCGGTTTTGAGGTTCTGCATCTAAGCATTTATTCATCGTAGCCGAGGAACTTCGCATTTAATTTCAGGTCTGAGACCTTTACAGATTCTTCTAGTTAGGTTGGTATTATGTGGAGTATCGTGATATGGAGGATATCCAGTAAAAACTTCTGACATAATTATTCCAAAAGAATAAATATCTGATTTTTGTGTATATTCCACGGTCCCTAATTTCTCCCATGAACATTTCTGATGATATTTTTATGATGATGTAATACCGTGGAAATATCAAAAAATATCACACGATATTACATCATCAGTAAAAATTTTAATCAAAATGTTATG